TATTTATTACTTTGTGGGACAATATTGCTGAATTCAGCATAACACATGGTAGAACACTATCTATGTGAGACTTTATTTTTCTTGACGGGGTTTTCAAAACTTCACTCTCTTTAGCGGTTGGTATTGGGGTGAAGAACCTTCTTATGTACCCACGTTTCGCTTCTGAGTTTATGCATCTAGTGCGTCAATGTGCTTTCGTGATTTAAATGGCGTTTTAGATAGTCAGCTTCCCATTCCCACCCACGATTTGCCTTTTCCGAATCACTATCTGGTGCCACTTCCGACAAACTTTGCAGAATATAACATTCTTGACGCGGAATAGCAATAAATTTCGCAAATTTTAGTAGTTTGTTTTTTAGCTTATTCATACCGGTATCACGATTTTCCTATTACTTATCGATCTTAAGATCGGTAAGTATGTTGATAGGTATTTGTCTGTTTGTTTGTTTGTTTGTCTGTCTGTTAGATGCACGCGATATCTCACAAAAGCGAGAATGAATCCGCTCCAAATTTTGCATGTGCATTCATCATATCTCGTACCAGAAGCCTATTGATTTTGGGCGAATTATGTCGTATAATTAGCGAGTTATCAATTGAGTAGTGACGGGACACAAGGTGTCACTATGGTGTAAGAGCGCTGTTTGGGGGATCGCCTAACTTTCGATCGATAAGTCTTCGGTCTCTGACCGATATTATCGTTATTGGTTTAACATGTATTTTCAGTCATACATACCATCCTTGGCGCTGTGATGCTTTGATAAATATGATTTCGGCTGCACCATACTTGACAGAGGTATCGAGATTTTTTAAACGTGTAAAAAACGTAAAATTAATGGTAATTTTCACGCGTAGCGTAGCATTAGAATGTTTACGTCTTTCTACGCGCATTTCCGTCAAAAAAAGTAACATTTTTTTGCATTGAGGGGGGCGTGTGCACTAATAATTAAAGGTGTGAGTCATCAAAATTGTCAATTGAAGCCTTGAACTTGAAAATTCTGTAAATACAATCGTGAATTTTAGAGTAACCATTCTTGCTATAATAGTGATTTTGGTGGTATTCTGTTGGAAAATAACACAAGAAAACGTTGAAATAAAAATTAATTTATTAGGAATAATTATTAGAGGAGTGCGTTTTACATATATTGCTGAATAGAGCTCCATCACACGCTATTAAAAAGCCATGAGTGAAGCTTTAGGGCCTGATGGTTGACAAAAAAAAATCCCATGTAAAATAGCACTAGACCGACCGGCTGGGCAGGGTGAATGTACTATAATATAGCTTCCTTACACAATAATGTGTACCATCCTGATCATCTCCACCTCCTCTTATTTAAATTTTATTAGATTGGAAAAGTCGTTAACAAATGCCTGCGATTTTACAAGCTAATTTATTTAGCATCGACGATTGTTTCCTTCTTCGTGAAATGACAATTCAGGAAACGAATATTGATATTTTGCCGTTTAAGAATGGACCATGATATAGCTTTCAAGTTATCAATCAAATTATAGTGATTTAAAGCGTATAAACTAGAGTTTTGTTTCACCTACCGAAGGCTCATGAAAGTTTATGGTGTTCTTCGTTTATTTTTCGTATTTTATAACACCGTATTTAAGTCGTAATATTTTTTCCATCATTTTCAGTCGGAAATGTGAGTTTCAGATTCACTCCTTTAATTACCGTTACGTCGCCAATGATCGCATAATATTGCGTTTTCACGCACAGTTCCGAGCGATAAAAATTAATTATCGACGTTCCCGTGGGACAATAAGTTTTTTCGTATGCAGGGGACCGCATCACAAGACCTGGAATAAGATGATATATGAGTTGAATAATTAAAGTATAATTGAGTAATTAAAGTAATGTGCCCTCATTGTATAAGTGGCCGCAACCACGATTTAAGTTAAACACAATTATAGAAATATAGAAGTATAGAAATACCTTTTGAATGTTGGCATTGCTCATGAGTTGAATACTTGACGCAACAAAAAAATCATTGTCCGCTGAAAATGTCAGCAATGGCGTGATCGTGACGCCTGTTTCAGAAGCTGTTGCATGTGAAATACCGATTTCGAACTACGCGGGGGAACAGAAATATTGGCGTTTTTGCATGTTATGCGCACTTCAAAAATTACGATTAACCAAAATTGAGGAATACTAATCGAATATAATGCTGTACGAAAACGATAAGAACATCCCTGGTTACTAAGTTTTAAATATATATTCATGAGATGAAAAAACAAATACCGTAATTTATTTGCAAAAGTGACTTAAATAACAACGCAGAATACTAGAGGGCGCGGCAATATCACGATTATCGCAAATTTTGAAATGTAACTTCATTTTAATAATTGTCATGCCTTTATACTTTATCGGCAGTAGCATGATAACCACTGGCATATTCATATCACCCTGGCTACGGTAAAATATTTTAAAGTGCCTCAGTTGTTTTTTATGTGACGCATACTCGTGTCTCTCGCTTCTAACAAGGCTCTGTAAAAGCAGCTACTGACATCCAACAATATGTGAGAATATACGACCGTGTGTCCAAAAACTTGTAGAAATCAACCTTGAATGTTATTGCGTCTCATCTTTCATTTTAATTTGATCGTTTACTTGTGTTCCTTTCCAACAAAATAATTACACAACCATTATCATAGCTAAAATAGTTACAGAGAAATTCACAATTGTATTTGCGGAATTTACAAATTCAACACTTCACTCGACGATTTGATGACGTCACTCCCTAATCATTACTGCATAAATGCTTCGAACAGCAGCGAATGTAATAATTGTCGACCGCAATCGGCGCAGCAAATCGTAAACCACCCCATGTGTGACGTCATAGCTTCATGAATGCTTTTACGTTCTATTCCTATTTACAATTTTATCACCCAACCACAAGGCGTGGGACAAGAAAATCTTTTTCTTAAAACATGGATGAAATAAATCACTAAAATTACATTCTAAGCCAATACAAAGTCATTATAACGGAGTTATCTGCCTTCATTCCTATCTTGGTTACAAGTTATTCATACCAGCTTTTCAGAGGTCTGAATCAACATTTTCAAATCAATGCTATTCATACTTTGGGCAGTTTCTAGCGATGCTATAGCGTTTCATTGCTTGTGTTTACTACAGACCATTTAGGGTTGCAATTCTTGGCGGGCCAAACCTATTTTTGCAGAAAATATTAAAATCGAACGGGTGACTGATATATATATCACATTTTTTACTAAGATCAAATGTTGAAACTACTTTATACTTTAAATAGCGAGCGAACAGTACAAGACTCAAGTCGTCTTACTAGGACAAAAATGAAATTTAATGTGACACTTCTTGTTGCATTACGCTCGATAAATTATTGACATCAGGTGACACATTTGATGAAGCCTAGATTAGAATATTTTTTCAATTGGCATCACTAATAGTTCTGTGCTTATTCTTTGTAATGTTCATTTTCAAAATAATTGTTCCCACGCATATGTGCTTCCAAACATCGATGTAGATTTTTTTGCTTGGTTTGTCAAATTTGGATAGAGATTTCCCTCAAGAAGACAATTTTTATACAAATCAAACATTCACACATATCTCGAATAAAAAGTGGATTTTATTTCCTCATTGCATTGGATCTTAAGAAGCTCTATTTAAATATTTTCTGTAACCGTTTCCACGTTAGCATAAAACGGAGTACTAAACAGACTGAACTCGTTTTTAAGAGAACGAAAGTCAGCGAAGCATGAGGAAAAATCGTTTTGCAATTCCCGTATTACAGAACAACAACAACATTATACCAAAACCATTTATAAGTCCACACCGTGGAAACAATTAAATTAGAATAAACGCGGGCCGGATTATTTTACTCCGCGGGCCGTGGGTTGCCGACCCCTAAGTTAGAGAGTTGGACTCAACAGTGTTTCCATTACACATCTCTTTTTCAAATCTTCTATCATCTCACCCAGGGTAAAAATGCGCAGACAAAGCCGAATTGGAAAGATTCCGTTGCATCCTAGAGTATTGGAATTCACACATCGTTAAATATCAGTGGCTACTTGTCACACGACGTTCGGAGCGAAAGGTTTAATAAGCATCGTATAAAAGCATTTTTTGTACAAGTGTGCCGCATTTTTTTATTTGCTTAGTGCGCCGCAAGCAAAAAAAGGTTGAGAACCACTGCTCTAATCGATAGGTCATCGACACCGACAAAGTTTGATACTAAGAAAGTCTATCAATTTCTAACGTAACATGTCGTAACGATTGGCGCATATTTATACGTTTCTAACTAAAGACAAATCTTTCAATCTTTTTAGAGAGACAAGAATCTACCCAATTTGGCACACCTTGGGTGAGATGGTGGGCTTGGGATTTGAACCCGATTTGTAAAACTCGCGTGATTTTTTAAAGCTGGGTTGCTTTGCTTGTGAGAGCCAAAACTATCGGCAATATGATTAAACAAATAATCCATTTGTTTTTTTAAGAACCATAATTTTTCTAGTCGTAATATGATCAAATAGAAAGCACTTCTGACTTTAAGAAGTTATCAACAATTTCACACCAAACGTTCACTTACGACTTTTTACGTCATGAAAAATTCCCAAACCAAGGCTCTTATCCAGCAACAACTGATATGCATTTGGCCTCTTATTTCTAAGAAGATGACACATTTTCCGATTGAATATGTCAAAGAGTCAAATACAAGAGACCGAGATAATGTCATGAATGAAAACTTCATTTTGACAATTGGCTTATTTTAGGATGATTTTTGTTAAATTTTTCCCACTGTCAGCATAAAAGCGGTTTATTTAACCCCATGACCATTTTGATTTTATGGATGCGCTTACTTAATTAAAACAAAAATGATTGCCATTTGAATTGTTTATTTAAAACAATTTATAAAATAAAAAAAATCGAGATATTATCTTTTTCCGAAACATATATTCTATCAACTACCCTATAATCGCTGCAAAACTATTTATAATTTTCCAAACTAATTTATATTCAGTTGAAGAAACTTGATGTCAGGGGAAACAGAGAATTGGGAGTGAAAGGTGTTTCTCAGGTCGCATCTGTCGTTTTACAATGTGAAGTCGAAGATGTTAACATGATCTTGTGCGGACTGACAGCTGAAGCAATAAATGGGTTCAAAAACAATACTCGTGGTGCCAAGGTGAAATTGAGATTGATCTCGGTTATTTATTTTCGTCTTATACTGATGAGCCTTTTTTATTCACCAATTGTAGACAGGGGCGGACACTTCCCATAATTTGGGGGCCGAATTTGCATTGTCAACCAAGAATCATAGTGTCGTGTTTATACATTGTTACGTCACAATATTCTTTTTTGTCGATCTCTTACAATTTTACTATTCAAATATCGGGTACCGCGGGACCTATACCGCTTTGCTTTGCTTTTTATGTCGCGTCACACTATTGAGCTATTTAAATATTCGCGGCACACCTATCACAAAACAGGAACATTTCCTACTATTGAAGCCATTAAGCTATAAAATAATAAAAAAACATAGGAGAGCAGATAAGGGAAATTCTATTCTTGTTAATATAACATATTCTGCATTTAAAATGGATGGTTAATAGTTACCGATATCACCAATGTTTTCTTACAATAATGTACACGAGACCCACCTTCGGAGCACCTCACATTATTGTGAAAGATGCGCGGCCGCACGGGTAATACTTGACGCGATACGCATTGGTTTTTTCTCGCCCTTCGCCTTGGGTGTAGCCTTATTATTATCACAGGTATTCTCACTTTTGCACACCCTAATTTATTTTTGTTACAATTTAATGTTTCTCCCATTGCCAAAATCATTCAATGGTGTAATTGTCGGCAGTCGGCACTAGCAAAGGAAATGAAAGAGGAAAACAACCCGTATTTCATTACAGCAATTAATTATTATCGCTAAAAACACTAAATAGGTTTAAAGTTGTTATAAACAATTTTCACCGATGAACTAATCTCTTCACGTTATGAATTTCGTGCAAGGCTCGAGCATAATTTGATGGCAAAGATCGTAGCATTTACTATGTCGAAACGCTTATTCGACTTTTCAGATCACAGAAACTATCCGAAAATAACCGCTTCTGTGTTCGAGTTATGAAATAATCGTCAATTCCACCACGCGTTTGTGAAGTAGTGCAATTTACTAAATTTAATAAAGGTTTTATTATTAAGTTTCATTGCGTCAGTGTTTGTGCTACCACTCGTTTTGCCTGATTACTGGCATGATTACAGTTCGCAAGGATGGGCAAAATATTTTGACCGAATCGAATAATTCAAATATTTTTAACGAATTGTCGAATATCGGATATTTTTAATACAAATACAATGGACATCCAGAATGCTAGGCATTCTAATGTTGGTGAGCTATTTCCGCTCGTCCTCTCTTTTTTTAAAAGGATTAGGATTAATTCTTACGCAACGTTTGGTTTTATATTTCTAACTATGCGTTCATATGGGTGACAAAGACGGCTATTAGAGAGTGAATTCGGGATTTTATTTTGATTTTTATCTTTTACGCCGGTTTTGATCTTTCTCCCAACCGATTGTAAATTAACTGTACCAATTAGCTAACAATATTATCATTTTTGACGTCGGAATGCGGATATTAATAAAGACGATAGTTGACCTTCTCATAATTTTACTTTCCTATTTATTGTGTCTGTTTTATTTTCCGTATTGAATGGTGAATATAAACCCTGTTAAAATGTTATTTTGAGTTCAAATAATATTTAAATAAATAGGCAATAATGGCAATTCTACTAGTAAAACAATAATTCCTTAGTCAAATTTGGGAAAAATTTTGCACAATAATTTGTTCCTTGGTTAACGTTTCCAATTTTACGAAACGGTCTTGGCGCGCATTATGCAAAACTTAGAATTAAAACAATATCTGAAATACGACTCCCAAATTTGTCGTTTTTGTTTGTTAGCAAGAGCCATGAAAAATTCTTGTGGAATCCAAGGGATTGGGAATTGGAATCACTTGAAATAAATTCAAAAATGATATCTTTTTGCGACACACCAAAATCTTTTAGCAGCACACTAATGTGCCGCGGCACCCTGGTTGGGAACCACTGTCCTAGACTGAGGAATGTCAAAGAAGATAATAAGATATTCTATGCATTTTTTGCTAAATTTAGGGATATAAATATTATTCTGGCTAGCATTTTGACTCAAAATAGCATCCAGGATTCACGCGATGCTGACTTTGCATAGTTTTTATCCAATGCAAAAATAACACAGACAAGATAGAAAAGTAAACTATAGTCTTCATGAATATCCGCATTCCTGAGCCAGTGAAGATAATATTGTTAACCTTTTTAAAATTTGGACGATTAATTCACAAACGCTGATAATAAAGATCAAACAAACGCAAAACTTAAAAATCATAATAAAAGTAGTTGAGCTCTACATTCCCTCCCTGATAATTGTCTTTAACATACGTCACCGATGTGGACGCCTCTTCTGCCAGAAATATAAAAACCAAACTTTGTCATCCGCCATTGCGTAAGAATTGATACTTGTGTAAGAAAAAGAAAATGGTCGAAAAGCTAGCTTACAATCATTAGGATGGCTAACGCTCTGGACTCTTGTTAAATATTTAAAATATTCGGTAATCGATAGAAATATTTGAATTATTTGGGTTGATAAAAATATTTGGTTGATAAAAATATATATTCCATCCTAGCTATCTTTAATCACGCCGGTATTACGGTGGAACGCATGGTCGTTGTAGCTCTTGATGCAACTAAATGGGACCTTTATTAAATTGCACTCAATAAAATGCGTGGTGGAGTCGGCGATCATTTTACATCTTGAGCACTAAAACAGTTGTATTCCAGGTTTCTGTGGTCTGGAAATCTTTTTTTATCGGTGTTTCAATGTCATTCGCGAAAAAACAACGTTACGATGTATAGTAAAAGTGATGATCTTTACAATCAAATTATACTCGGGCTCTGCAAGGTGTCCGCCCTTGATTGTAAGTAGGCGTGATGGAATAGCAGTTAAAGTGTTGGAATTCGACTGTGTTGGAATTCGACAGTGTTGGAATTTGACTTTTTTATCGGTGTTTCAATGTCATTCGCGAAAAAACAACGTTACGATGTATAGTAAAAGTGATGATCTTTACAATCAAATTATACTCGGGCTCTGTCACTTTTGGGACCCGGAAATGATAAGTCGATTTGCCAGACTCGTTTTATTGAAAGTATTCAAAACGGTTGACTAAAATACAAATGAAATAATTAGCACCAAATAAATCAAAGACAAATGATACAGAATATAAAACTAATACTTACACAAAACAACTCCATATAACAGCATAGTCCCAAAACGACAGATATACAACCAAGGTAAAACAGTAACTATAAATGCAATACCATACGAGCTGTAGACATGCAAATATCATAATGTTATATCGAACGATTCGAAATACAGTATAAAAGAAGACTATTGAATGAATTCAAACTTCAACGTTATAAAGGCGATGTAATCTTAAACTGCCATAACAAGAAATGAAATCCTAAACTGCTACCACCAGAAATGCAATCTTAAACATCTTGCTGAGCTTAGGGGACGATAATAAAATAAATACGTAACACGATAACACGTGAAAGAGAAAATGCGACACGTCGAATACGAGAAAACAACACAGTAATGATGACGACGACGAGATAGCGATATCATCACGATGACGATGTACAACTGAAGGAATCCTAACTAAACTAAACTTTAGGACCACACGGACTGCCGACAGGCTCTGCAAGGTGTCCGCCCTTGATTGTAAGTAGGCGTGATGGAATAGCAGTTAAAGTGTTGGAATTCGACTGTGTTGCCAACGCAGGTCACACATCTCTGCTTTAAATCCAATTTTTACCATCTCAAACAGGGTGAAAAATGCGCAGGCAAAACCGAATTGGGAAAATCCTGTTTCTTCCTAAAGTAGTGACCTTCAAATATCGTTAGATATCATTGCCTGCTTGTACATGGCTTTGTTCGGAGAGAAAGGTTTAAATAAGTGTCCTATAAAAATCTTCAGTGTGCTTTTTACAAAATTTTCGTCACAGGTATCTTAGTTACGAAATAACAATGTAAAATCCAAACTACGGCCATCCATAGCGATTTTATAGTTACGTATCGTAGCGATGACCTCACACTTATTCATGAAATTCTGACTGTCAGAAACTCACAAAGCATTGCATTATTTTGATAGGCATTATTGTGCGCAATTGAACCTTCACAATGAGCATACAAACCGTCGTGTAAGAAGAAGCAATCGAAATACATCGAGAAATATAGCGAAAGATAGTGAATGAACACATGAATTCAGTTTCATTATCTGAAAGCAAAATCTGAAACTATAAAGAAAAAAACCAGGCTGTGATAATGCCACGTATATCACAAATAAATTTCAACTATTTTGAGGGTGATCCCGAAGTATGTGTACCAAGATGACGCACAACCTGAACATAGCATCTGTACCAGGTTGGGATTAGCAGGTTGTGCGCCATCTTGGTACGAATACTACGGTAGCACCATTTTGAGAGCTGTAATATTTCGGGAAATTCGGATTTCTAACTTGCTACACGCTAACATAGTTGAGCCTATAAAATCATTAAATCAACATTGTGAATTAATTGTTTTTGTTATTCCCGCTATGTCATCGACACCGACAAAGCTTAATACTAAGAAAGTATATCAATTTCTACAGTAACCTATCGTAACGATTGGCGCATATTTATACGATTCTAACTAAAGACAAACTCTTTAAGTGTTTCATTTGCACAAAATGCATTATTCTGCGCAATCAAAAATTCATAATAAAGAGAGAACCAAATTAACTATTGAATTATGTCAATGCTGTAAATGTGGGCTAAATAGTCCATATTGTAAAGAATATTTAACGATCCACAATTTATTGATTTTCCTACGAGCCTCATTTACCTTTATCCCTAGGCCTAGTCCAATAGTTATCCTTATGCGGTTCATTTGTAATTGCAATTAATATTTGTGTATATACTGGATAAAGTACTAACTTATAACTATACGAAGTGTGATTACTATTCTCTCTGTACAAGAAAAAGCGATCGGTTCAATGAAGAGGAATGTCAGTGATAGTTATGTTCGTGCTCGAGTACTAAATTATTC